CAGGTGTGGTTCACACTACCACGTAAGTTGTTGTAGTCGTGGTGTACTTGGGCAACAACGTTCTTGGAGATTGTAAAAGAAGTCCATGAAGATCCTTTGTCCAGCTTGCGGGCACCAAAGGCGTTCACGAAACGACAGAGGTGTGGCCACTCCGTGGTGGCTCGAGTCACTCCTTGAATTCCGCCGTGGGTGTAGAGGCCGAACGTGTAGTAGTCGAGGCGATGATTGTCTTGGTCTTTCTGGTAGAAGGGTTCGCCTCTGTCGTTGCGCCGGCTCTTTTCATCGAAGTGGGCCAGAATCTCCTGTAAGACCTCGAAAGTGAACTCGCCCTGCTCGTAAGCTTCCTTAGCACGCCGCTCGCCAGGAGGAAGATCGTCGCCCAGTCGGGTTCCGGGTCCTGGGGTTGCGGCCAAAACTGAATTCTGAGACCTGAGTGCCTTGGTCAGGTCGCCCTCGACAATGACGTCGAGATTGAAGCCAGCGCCGCAGCATCCTTGAGGCCTCGCGACACCGACGTTGTCCATGTTTTGCCAGCTTAGTGTCCCCGCCCCTTGGCCTTGGTCTTGCTCTTGAGGATGGCTAGGCGGGTCTCGAGCTTCCTGATCTCCTCGAGGGCCTCCGCGTCCGGCTCGTCGTCCATGCTCTCCTCGCCGTCCTTCTGAGTCCTGCGCTTGGTGCTCGCCTTCGCGTTCGGGGCGATGGGCATCTGGTCGTTCGACTGTGCCGTCGTTGCCCTCCTCGGCCAGCTCTCTTCCCACGCATCCACGTTGGCCCACGAAGTAGCTTCCGACGACGCTCCGGGCACATGGCTCTGGGTCTCCTCCGGAGTCGCTGAGTAGCCTTGCTGTCTCTTCTCCTCCTCCTTGCGCTCCCACCACCGTGCGTAAAGGACCAACTCCGGGTCGGCGTTGCTCCCCTTGATCTCGTTGCTCGCCCAGCGGCCGTACTGCCACGGCACTTCGCGGAACTCCATCCCACGATACTTCCCGATCTTCATCAGCTCGTTGTCTGGGGTGTTGAGCGTGTCTCGCACAAGTCGTAGTAAGTTCCCCTTGGTGACATTCGCGGGAAATTCCACTCCCAACTCTTGCGCTTTCATCTTGAGCTCGGGCATGCTGAGGTGGGACATCCGCTTCATGCGCTCCGTCGCATCGCCTTGTTTGTACTTCTCGCGGTGTTCCACGATCACAGCCTTGATCTCTTCGGGGCTCCAGGTGCGATGGACGGTAAGGCCCAGGCGTAGGCACTCCTGGATGAGCTGAGGTTTGGTCATCTTGCTGATGGGGAGCTCCTTGGCGCATTCCGGCGTGGCCATCAGCGACACAGGTCGACGAAGGCGTGGGAAGGGGCCTCTTGTTGAAAGTAGTCCTGCCAACCCAAAGCAGCGGCAACGGAGAAGTCTTCATGTGCGCATCACTCCATTGATCCACGACAGTCTCAAGCCAACGATCTGAGCTACAACAAACCCCTTCCGTAACCCTGACATCTCCAAGTGTGGTAAGCATCATCTCCTTGAGTACGGTGGATGTAGTGTTCCAACGGGCGGGATTGAACATTGATCTCCTCGGAGTAACATGAACCCTGATCCAGGAATCTGCTGTCTCTACCCAAAAATCACCGCCGACTTCACTGTCTCTCCACCAAGAAACAAAACTCTCACGACACAGTTTTGGCTTCACGAGGATGTTGCGGACTTCTGGGGGAATCTTCTTCTCGTAGTAGAGATTGTAGAGGGCTTGGGGTTTACAGCTCGAGATAGCAACAGCATGAACTGTGTATTGCGCACGTGGCTCAAGTCGCAAGTCTTCGGCAAGTAAGTCTGTACTGATCCCTTTCGCCGGCTTTGCAGGCATGATGGGAATCGCTGGGTGGCCTGAAGGAGTCACCATCAAGTCGTAATCTTTCAACCCAACCGCATTGAAATCAGCTCGGCCTTCGGTGACATCGTAGATCATACCCAGCTTGCCTAGCACGGTCTTCGACAGGAGCAAGGGGATGTCCCCCGGGATGATGGACGTACGGAGCTGCACCACGCTGTTGCCGAGAGCAAAGGAGAGGATCACATTGAAGGAGGAATAGTGGATGCGCCCTGTCCCGAACTTGTAAGCCTCACACTCTTTGGAGAGTTGTGGCTTCGTGTCGTGATCCCCGAGCTTGTCCATATAGTCCTGCAACCATTGTGTTCCTGCCACAGTCCTTGCGCACGCGGTATCCGTGATGCCCATCAGAACCCCGGCCTCGTGTCGAAGAGTCATGACCTGGGCCGGCATCATCACGCAGACCTCTCGGGTAGGAGCCGTCCTCGCATGGCCACCTCCTTTGTTGGCATTGTTCGGACACTCGTCGTCAAGATGCCAGTGTCCACGCCGCCCACAACCTGAACAAAACGAACGGGCTTTGATCTGCTTGAGCTTGTCTTCCCTCGTCTTGTCCTTCAAGTCGCCGCGAGGTCCGTCGCCTTTGCCATTGTCCTTGCCGCCATCCTTGTTGCCGTCGCCCTTGTAGCCGCGTGACCGCGCCTGTTCGCGGTATTTCGCTTTGGCGTTCTGAAACGTCATGTAGGCAACCGCAAGCTCTTCTGGATACCCTTCGTCTTCTTCATCGTCCTCTGGGAGCGGGTCCTCATCGTTATCGGCGTCGGTGATGTGGGCGGTGTACGGTCTGCGTCCTCCCTTGCCACTTTCCCAAGGTTTACGAAGCCCCCTATCTTGTATGATAGCAGCCTTTTGTAACTTGCCCAAGCTGTAGACGTTGCCCACGCTCGCAAGGAGGTTCAACTCAGCGCTTTCCTCCAGTTGGAGGCGATCGACATAGAGCCATGCCGAGCACTCCTCCGGCAGCATGCATCCGACTTCCTTCAAGCGAGCGTGCAAGCGGTCATACTCGGCGTTGTAGTCACGTATGGATTGTCCTTGTTTGCGGCGCAGCTTGCGGAACATCTCTGACAGCGCCTTGCCTATGCGTGTGACCTCAAGATCCAGGTAGCGATTCCGTAGCCAGCTCATCAAGTAGTGAACTCCATCTTCACGACTCAAAGCATCTACGTTCAACTCCTCCGCTGCTACCCATGCCTTGCCTGCCAGGTGACGGTAGAGAACCAGGCCTTGTTGGTTGTTCGGTAAAAACGTCAAGCGCCGCCAGGCCTCGACCTGGCGAAGGTACGAACGAGCAGACGTGCCGACATCATCATCGTCTTCTCCGGTGAACACGGGGACGGAGAGCTTCTCGGACGGCCTTGGAGCGCCGCCTTTCCAGGTGCCGCCTCGGTCGTTGGCGTTGCTTGGCTGCAAACCCTTGCCATTGGGAAAGTGTTTCCAGCCGCTCCATACCGATTCTTGGGCCCTGTCGTGGGCGGCCCATTCGCCTCCGTATGCTCCGTCGGGTGAATCGTGCCATCCGTGGATCCTAGCTCGACCATCTGCCCAGGGATCTCGCCAGACTCCTTCTGAATCGCCGAGGCCAGCGCGAAAATCGTGGTCGCCTCGCCCGAAGTCTCCGCCATCGAAGCCTCCGTCATTGCCTTCATGGCCATTCCAGGGTCGAGCGTAGTAGGACGAAGCATCGGTGCTGTAGTTACCCCAACTCGTAGTTCGACTTCCTCTGTGTTCTAGGTCGTCGGTATTACGTCCCGCTTGGTCATGTCCCCGCCAAGCGTGGTTCCATCCCCAGCTTGCCCAGCTAGGGTCCCACCGGGAGGCGCCTTGCGAGTGATCACTCCATGTCCACTCATCTCCGGCACTTCCGGGTCGGTCGCTTGTCTCCGAATTGTTGGGCTCTGTGAGAGCTGGCTCTTCGTCCCCACGAACTGCAACTGCTTGCTCGTGGACAGCTTCGCCAGCCATTACAACGACTAACACAAAGGACTACTGGAGCACGCTAAGGCTCCGCTACCAATTTGAAACTACGAGGCAAAACTAC